GAGTGCTTATTAAGTGGAAAGTTTTGTGTGTTTTTTAAGATATTCTTGAGATTGTTTAATATAATAATTTTAAGAAAATAAGAAACTTTTTCTAAAAAAAAGGAATCACTGGAATCATTTCACCTTATTAGAATGTTGGAGAATATAGTCTGCTGCATAAAATATCAGAAGCGTTATGAATTTTTAATTCTTTTTTTTTTAAGATTTTAAAATTTATTTATCTTTAGAGGGGAAGGGAAGGAGAGAGGGAGAGAAACATCAATGTGTGGTTGCCTTTTGTGTGCCCCCTGCAGGGAAGTGGCCTGCAGGGAACCAGCCTGCAACCCAGGCATGTGCCCTGCCTGGGAATCGAACCTTGATTGTCTGGTTCTGAGACTGCACTCAATCCACTGAGCTACACCAGCCAGGGCTTTGAATTTTTAATTCTTCTAGTGAACTGTCATTGCATTGTTTGATGTAATACTAGTAATTCTCATAATCCCTCTGCAGATGAAAAAGGAAGGCCAAAATCATAGAGCTGGCAGAGAAACTAGACACAGGAGACAGCTATGAAGGAAAAGATATGTGTGTGTATATATACTTACACATATATACATACATAAGATATATGTATATACACACATTTCTTAAATTATTCTTTTCATATAGACAAAGATAACTGTTCTGAACTTAGGCATCATACAGAAACTTCAAGTTGAAGAGAAAGCAAACTCTGGAAGCCACACCTTCTTGCAGAGGAGATTTGCTTCAACAAGTTTTTCTTGCTTGTCTGCTACATAATTTCTGTTGTTCTACCGCTCACTGCCTCAGCTTTTCATGTCAATCCGCTGGTTCAGCATTGACTGTTGAAGGAGTATCTGGTACTGCAAGCAGTGGGTTGGGCAGACTCCCTATCTGGAAATACTCCTGTTTTGTTCCCTTCTTCCTTCAGAGAAGACTTTGAGTGAGAGAAAAAAGAGTAGAACTAGATTCTACAGACTAGACCAGTGCTTCTGAAGCTTGGCTGCGGCAAAAACAATTTCTGAGAGAGATTAGATCAGAGATAGTCAATGTTTAGGATTTCACAGGCTAGTAAATTTTCAAAAATATTTTTAGGACAACATACAATCACAATATTTTTATTTTTTAAAAGATTTTACTTATTTATTTTTAGAGAGAGGGAAAGGGAGGGAGAAAGAGAGGGAGAGAAACATGATTGTGTGGTTTCTGCTCACGTGGCCCCCACTGGGCACCTGGCCCACAACCCAGGCATGTGCCCCCCACATGGGAATCAAATTGGTGATCCTTTGGTTCACAGCCCGCGCTCAATCCACTGAGCCACACCAGCAGCCAGAGCTGATCACAATATTTTAAAAATAAGGATTGTAAAAACACCCTTATTAATATCATTTGATAAAAGGATATTTTAAAACCAAAAGACGTATGAAGGCCTTAATTCAATGCAAAAAAGCAATTATTTAAATTGAATAAATTTAACTTCATGAAAAACACTAATTTTTCTTATTCACCACAGGCTGGTGAATATTCACTTGGGACCAGCACCCGTTTGGTCATTCTTACTCTCAAGAAACTTCTGCTCTGACTGGTGTGGCTCAGTTGGTTGGGCATCATTCCACAAACTGAAAGGTTGCTGGTTTGATTCCCAGTCAGGGCACATGCCTGGGTTGTGAGTTCGATCAGTTGAGGTGCATGTGAGAGGCAACCAATGGATGTTTCTCTCTCACACTGATATTTCTCTCTCTCTCCTTCCTCTCCCTTCTCTTTAAAATTAACTAAGTAAAATCTTAAAAAAGAAACTTCTAGTCTGTTTCCAAAACAAATAATGTATATATGTATAATGCATGCACTTGAATACATATATAATCAAATGCGAAATGGGGGTGGAGGTAGGGGAGGCAGAGGTTGTATTCAGGCTTCTATAGTGCCATTTCTTATATTATGCATTAAAAATAACTTAAATTTCTATCAGATCAGTTGAAGACATTTGAGACCTTTGTTTTGTTATTGATACTGTTACTGAGAAAAATTACATGTATTTCATATGTAATAATTTGCCCACTGGAATGTTTTTGAGTAGTGTTATTGCTAAAGATTCCAGTTCTCTGTATTTCCCCTGTTAATAGCATGTATCTTTTTTGGAGCTGGATATGGAGGAGTCATGGTCTCTGTGATGTATGACCGCATTTGATGTTATCCTTGGAGGACAGCCCAGCCTTTACTTGCCAGTGTGGAACTTGAGGTCAGGGCTGGGTACGAAGAGCTTGCCACTGACTGTAGGCAAGTCCGTTGACCTTTAAATGCTTTATGGAGTGCGTTTTATGTCTGTTCTGTACATTTTCCGGTAGGACAACAGCAGTGTCACAGAACATCTTTGAGGCATCATGGTTTCTAAAAGTTGTGTATTGTTAGTAACTGTTAGATTAAAAAATGTAATAGATACTAAAGGCAATTAATTAGGGAACTTCATGATAGTTAAAGTTAAACAGAAGTTCTCAGAGCAATGAATTTACTGGTGCATGGATTTTTTTTTTCTTCTAACAAGCATAAGATTGGTGTTTTGTAGAACAACAATTAGGAAACTTTCAATAGGAATTAGAACAATTGAGAGTTGGACTGTTTCATGTAGTTTTCCACTGTACTGGAAAAATTGTCCTTGGTCTTTAGTCTTTCTATAATTAGAATCACCTATAGTAGTTGATAAGCAAAAATTCAAGTGTTGGGTCTTGTTTTGGGCCTAACAAGTCAGAATATCTGCAGGGTATGTTGCGGAGAGCTCCCAGGTGACTCCGATGTGCTCTAGAGACTGAGAACCACTGGATAGAAATAGGCCTTCTCAACACTTGATAAATGCAGTCTTAATCCTATTTGAGTATGCTTCTATTTTATATTCTTGGCTCTAGTCTAGGGACTAGACTATGTAGTAATTATGTTTGCTGTTGTTGTTCTTCCCAGAGTGTTTGTATCCAGATTTTCAGAGTCCCGTTTCATCAGTAGGGCAGTTTTATAGGTCAGTCCTATACAATCTGTATTGTGTCCTATTTATATTGTCTGACTTATTTGGAAGCCTTGAGTTTAAATTTTGTTTGTGATTTATGTTTGTTATTAATGTACTTTTCTATTAGGAAACCCAAATAATTTTCCTCTTGGCTTGTCAGGTAATAAGCTTTTGAGAGCTTCTTGTCAACTTCTAATTGCAGGTATGTTCAGTTTTCTGTGTGCTTAACAAGGGCATTGATATTCAATTAGCAAGCCTTTTTCTTGCATTGAGTAGAAGATAACTAATGGAGCATTGTGTGTTGAGGGCAATATAGGAAAGCTTGGCAGGGTTGCTACTCCCTTATTTTCATTAAAGTCCATGCAGCTTTTCTGAGAACAAATGAAGTAGAAATAGAGGAAACAAGATCATTGTAATGAGGATGGACCTGAAAATTTTTAAACTTTTATATACATACCCTACCTGTCCTCCCCACCCACCCTCCATAAAAGCTGAACTTATCCCGCGTCCTTTCCACCTTGATCTTCCACCAAATGGTGTAGAAAAGCTGATGGGTTTGTCTACTTTGTAAAACAGGAGTTCCTATAAGGCTGTCAGCTGATTTCTCAAAAGAAATCTTACAGGCAAGAAGGGGCTGGAAAGAAGTATTCCAAATCATGGAAGGCAAAGACCTACATCCAACATTACTCTATCCAGCAAAGCTTTCATTTAGAATGGAAGGGAAGATAAAGTGCTTCCCAGATAAGATCAAGTTAAAGGAGTTCATCATCGCCAAGCCCTTATTATATGAAATGTTAAAGGGACTTATTTAAGAAGTAGAAGACGATCAAAAACTATCAACAGTAAAATGGCAACAAACTCACAACTATCAATAACTGAACCTAAAAAAAAAAGAGATGAAAACAAAAACTAAGCAAACAGCTAGAACAGGAACAGAATTAGAGAAATGGAGATCACATGGAAGGTTTTCAGTGGGCAGGGAGAGGGGAAGAAGGGGGGGAAGGTATAGGGAATAATTATAACTGGTAGGCATAAAATAGATGGGGAGAGGTTGAGACCGATTTAGGAAACAGAAGTCAGAGAACTTATATGCACAGCCCATGGACATGAATTAAGTAGGGGGAATGGCTGGAGGGGTGGGGGGTGCAGGGTGGAATGGGGAAAAATTGGGAAAACTGTAATAGTATAATCAATAAAATACACTTAAAAAAGAATGTTTTTTTTTTTGTTTAGACATCAGGGAAGCTGTGTGATCTTGATTAGGTTCTAGAACCTACAGAATTTGCCTTGAAAAGATCCCCCCTCCCCACTTGCCTAGAAAGGCTAAGGCACCCTAGACATGTTATTGTTTTTCCCCTTCTTCGCTTCCTTTTTACAAGAGAACAAATCCATTTTATTTATTTACTTTTCAATAAATTTAAGTCCTTGAGGGGTACAGATTACATGGATTCTGTGTCCAATTGCCTGAGCAGGAAGGTTGCTTTGGAATTTACCACGAGCCACACCACTGTTTCCATGAGCACGAGTTACCTTTCCCCAGGTGACTCTGGTTTTATTCGATTTGCCACCAGGAAGTAACCATATCTCTTGCCTAGACAGAATTCAGTTTCATCTCGAGCATAAAAATGTATAATTTTGAGAAGAGCTGTGTGCTCCCTCTGGTTCCAGAGCCCCCTCTTACAGCCAGCAAAAACGGCCTTGGAACACAGCCATCCAGATGTATTTGTCATCACAGAAGTCCTTTTCACAGCAGGCCTTCACAAGCGCCACAGTGGCAGAAAGAGGCATTTATTTTCCTTTAAACTTTTAAAGAATTATACATCTGTAAGTTGATAACTACAGGACACGGTTAGTTTTTTAACAGGTACAGATTAGCAGTTTGTGTTCATCTGTAGTTAAGAACTTTGACTTAGAACTTCAGAAGCTTCTGGAAGAATCTGGATATTATAGGTTTTCATTTCCTTGATCCTTGTAGCATTTTATTCTTTCTTTTGCTTCTGTTTAGGATCTATCATAATGAATGGATCCAGTGTAGTAAACACATCACCCAGCATAAAATCCAAGGAGGATCAGGGGTTAAATGGGCACGATGAGAAGGAAAACCCATTTGCAGAGTACATGTGGATGGAGAATGAAGAGGATTTTAACAGACAGGTAAAGAAAGGAGTGGGAGGACAATGATGTATATAACTCAACAGTTATATTTTATTGTCAGTCTGTTATAAAAGAAATGGGCCATTGGCTTTAGAATAACTTAAAAATACATGGAGGCCAGCTCTCCAGGTCTGAGCTGACTAGGAAGCCCTTTCAACTGGTAAGAGACCATAGTACTTTGGAGGAAGATTGTGATATTTTTCTACCACATTGATTAAAAGAGGATCTAATGCCATGGTGATCTGATGTAGACTTCTGGGAAACAGCAGTTTTGTGAAGATAGGCCAACCTGGCATGCCCCAGATAGGAACTCAGGAGCTGGCAGAGTGTGAGCCTGAGTTAGCTGAGGGTGTAATAGAGTGGGGAAAGGCTAGGCTGCTTCAACAGATTCAGCAGTACTTTACCGTCTTCTTGTCTCTGTAATAATGGCTCAGCCCGAGGTAAGCCATTCCAGGTAGATAGGTGGACCACATAGTTCCCATGTTGTTGCTTTGCCACCCCTGGGGCACTTACAGGTGAGTAGCTGACGGATAACTGGAAGTCTAGCCACTAGGAGAGGAGGAGACCTAAAGGCCACGACAAGGGATCTCCTTTTAATCAAGCGATGCTTAGTTCTCACATCCCTTCTGGGGATATTACATGATAACTACATGTTAGTTATATGGCTCTATATGGCATGGGAGAAGGGAAATACAGTATTAACTAAACAGCTTAGTGCTGTGGGAAGTTGTACCTGTGGATAAGGATAGATTTATTTATTTTTTATTTTGGGGGAAGGGGAAAAAGCAAGGGAGAGAAGAGAAACATCAGTGGTTGCCTCTCACACACCCCCTACTGGGAACCTGGCCCACAACCCAGGCATGTGCCCTGACTGGGAATGGAACCAGTGACCCTTTGGTTCATAGGCTGGAACCCAATCCACTGAGCCACACCAGGCAGGGCAGGATAAGGATAGATTTAATATGGGGAACACACTGTTATGCTTTTGGAGAGAGGGCAGATCTTGAATAGTCACGTTAAATCCTATGGCTTGGAAATATTTTGTGGTTATTGTTATCTTAAGTACTTTATAATTTTCTAATTAACTTGAAATTTTTAAAAAAGTGTTGTTAATTATAATTGTTGAATACTACTTTTGAATCTTGCTACCAGTAACTCTTCCTCTGAATTCATGAGGTTAACTGTAATAGCTAATTTGGGTGATTGTTTTTGCTGGACCCCCTCTGGTTTTGGCATGAGTGAGCTGTGAATTTGTCAACAGGCTCACTGTGGGAACTGGGAGGGCCAAATGTAAAACAGGAGGCCTGTTAGAATCACACAATCTGTAGAATGAACTCTTTTTCATAAGACTTAACACTGATTGCAAATAGGTATGAAATATCCTAGATATATATTGCTTTAGTTTAGAGCCATCTTTAAGAAATTTAGAGTTGTTTAAATATTCATATTATTTCTTGCTTTGAAAGAATACTACATTGATGACATTTTCTATTGGTATGTCAAAAAGTATTCTAAGGTTCTGCAGTGTTTTTCTCCCTTGGGGGCCTCATTATCAGAAGAGTGGCCAGAGGCTGAGAGTTTGTTTTGATATAATGTCCACTATCCAGGTAGTAGTCTAGTTACAGAGTTCCTGTATTTATAGTTGTAAAATGGGAAATTTAGGAAGAGTTGCTTCTTAACAAAATTGAGAAAAGAATTTTAAGCTTTAAAAATGACTTTTGGTAAGTGCCATATAAATGGGAAATATCTGTGTCACATATTTAGAGACCTTAGAAGATCTGTGAAGAATTTTTGCTATTTTGAATAACTATTTTATTAGTCCTGTTATTGCTGGACTTTGGTTGAAAAACTTAAAAATTATATTTTCTCCAGCTAGTCATTGGAAGCATCTTAATTCTTAGTAAATGACATGCAAGATCATTCTTAATCTTGGAGTCATAAGCTCTGAAAGAAAGAGCTGGGGGAGAACTGGAAGGGAGGAGGGCCACTGGGACAGCGAGATTGAGCTCCTCACCTTTGCTTGCCAGGTGGAGGAAGAGCTGCAGGAGCAGGATTTTTTGGACCGGTGCTTCCAGGAGATGCTGGATGAAGAAGACCAAGACTGGTTTATTCCATCACGAGACCTGCCTCAGGTCATGGGACAGTTGCAACAACAGTTAAATGGACTGTCTCTCAGCGATGGTCATGATTCTGAAGACATTTTGGTAAGAGCCATAAGTACACATGGGACGCAGTGAAAGGAATGTGGGATCTGGAGTCACAGACTTTCTTTCGGGCCCTACAACCTTGAGCAAGTCTCTGGAGCCTCTGGGCCGCTATTTCTTAACTCACTATGTGAGCACTAATAAGAGTGTACGTTGGCCCTGACCAGTGTGGCTCAGTTGGTTGGGCATCATCTGGCAAAGCAAAAAGTCGCTGGTTCGATTCCCAGTCAGGGCACATGCCTAGATTGCGGGTTCGGTTCCTGTCAGGGCACATATGAGAGGCAACAGATGGATGTTTCTTACCCACACTTTCTCCCCCACCTTCCCATTTCTCTAAAACATAAGAATAATAAAATAAGTAAATAAATAAGATACATTGAAGATGCATTTCACCTGATAAAGCACTGTGAAAACATTACTGTTGTAGCATCACCAACTTTCATTTTCCCCAGTAGACCTTTCAAAGTAGAACTGGGATTAAGGATAAAGAATTGAAAGGAAAAGGTTTGGTTTAAAATTATCATTTGCTGCCATTCTTTTACTATTCCTCAAATCAGTATGTATATTTTTGAATGATGCTGTTGTACAAATTGTTCATTTTGGAAGGAACATACCCATAAGAGGCCATTTTCTACTTAACATTAGAAGACCAAATAAATGAGTCCTCTGCCTTCCTTGTATGAATTCTGAGTGGTTTAGTTCTCACACAGCCCATGTTCTGAATGATTGTACCCCGCAGTTTGCTGAGGTATTGGGTATTCACAAGAGCGTTAACAACCAAAGAAAGTACAGCAAGATAAAAAAAAAAAAGATATGTTTATAGGGATTGTGGTACCAAACTGGTTTGATGGAGTTCGCTGGTGTTTATCGAGTTAAGGTACTCAATGAATTGAGTAGTTTTGGAGTCAAACTTACAAGCCCCCGATGAAAGCAGCATAAAAGGAGCAGGAGTCTGAAGCAGGAAGGAGAAAATGAGGTTGGTCAGGGCTTAGTATGTCAAGAGCCATTGAGAGCAGCCCAGCAGTAGTAATAGCCTGAGTTGCAAGGAATTCTATTTTTTTTTCTCCTTGACGCTAAGAGGAAGGTACTGGTAATAATGGAAGCAGGGAGAAAGTAAGTTTTAAAGTACGGCTTGCTGTGGGATTTATTATCTCTTGGTTCTTATTTCAGAGCAAAAGTAACCTGAACCCAGATGCCAAGGAATTTATTCCAGGAGTGAAGTACTGAGCTGACAGAAAAGCTTTGAGGAGGACTTGTATGTCGCCACATCTGGGGACAGCGCTGCATACAAAGGCAGCGCTAAAGGGGGGGGGGGCTAGGGCTGCACAGCGGGGAAGGGGAATAGTGGTTTAATGACACTGTGACTGGAGTAGCTAATGTGCTCAGTCTTAATCTGCAAGCCTGAGTGTTTCTCTTTTGTTCTACTGACTTCCATTTTGAGCAGTTTCCTATTATTATTATTATTATTATTATTATTATTATGTTTTTGGCTTGAGTTAAGGAAATTGCAATATTCTTTTTTCTCACTTCATCAGGAATGTTCTGCTATGTGTATTTAAACAAAAATAAGCTGACCAAGAAAATCTGGGTGTTTACAAATGCCCTCTTACCCTGCTGTATGCTTACGAAGGCAGTACACACCTAGAAAACTACTATCAGTCCATTAAGCTGGATGAGAAGAAGGATGAACGGAAGAAGCAGGTGTTGTAAAAGAGTATGCAACTCAGCTCTCCCAACCTGAGGGCTTCCTGCAGTGAACTGGGATTACCCATGTCTTCCTGCTGAACCCATGTCTTCCTGCCTTGAACCCTGTTCAAGAAAACACAGACTTAAAGTACTGGTTTACAGTAACTCTTTTAATGATTGATTAAATTTGTGATCAGAAGGGGGAGTTGTGATGGGTATTGTCACTTGAATTTTACAGTTACTGTTGGCCTACTCCTAAGCCTCTGTTTACAGCTACCGTCAGACTCAGCATTTCAAGGTACAGGAGCACTAGGGTAGATTTGCCTCTTTGTGTCTCATGGTATCTCCTCCTCTATCCCTTTCCACCCCCACCTTTCTCTGATTTTAAGAAAAGATATTGTTACCAAAGGTGAGACAGAGGCATGCTATGCTGGACATAAGCTTCAGGCTGGAGAAGTCATCCTTGAATCCTGTTAGTTGTGTCTTAAGTTTATTTTGAGATTTTTTTTTCACCCCTATGAAGATTTGATCTTTTGGTGTCTTTCCTTAGAAAGGTTTATGCACTTTTACAAGTAACTTTATTTTTTGGAACACTAACAAGAAGCTCAGTTCATAGTTTCAATGCTTTTCCCACTTCATAGAATTATGCAAAAGAACTAAAAAAAAAAAAAAAAAAGCCCAATAGAGTGAATTCTACTTGACCTAAGTGACTGTGTGACCCACCAGGAGAGTTTCAGCGATTACCAAATCTTTCTGTTCCTATGTGCCCAGCTTTGCAAGTTTTCTCAATTGGGTTCTCTGGGTTCATTCCTTTTGTCTTTCCTGCCTGTAAGTCACAGGGGTTTTTTTTTTGTTGAAACTCATAAGGAACTAAACTGAGCACAGGTACTGCCTTTGTGTGATAGAGATGTGATGGGAGAGTCAGGTCTAAAGGAAAGTGTGTCAGGTCCTCACTGTCCTCCCAGGATGAGGACTTGCGGAGGCCTGAGCACAGTGGCTTCTGTGTGACCGCTGCTGTGGGTGTGAGAGGCACATCAGGAAGAGATCATGGAACTTGAAATAAAGTCTGTGTGAATTCAGTATGTGGAGGTGGGACTGAGATTGGAAGGAAAGGCCTAGCGTCTGGAAAGCTTAAGAATTTCTCTTTTTTTCTTATGAGTTCTTGGTTGACTTTTGGAACAGCCATAGCCTAAGGTCAAATTTAAAATATGAACCCACATCTTTTTCTCATCCAAGTCTATTGGATGGCATTATTTGAAAACTGGCCTTTCCTTGCTAGGTCACATGTCACAGGAGAGTAACTTAAGGAGCTTGTATTGCCAGATGTGCATGTTAATTCTCAAAGCCTCTACCTCCAGAAAACGGAACTCTAGCTTGTTTTCAGGGAGATCTATGAATAAAGAAATCTCTTTATCCCAGCTTCAGTTTTCAGCCGGGATTGTTGCCTGAAACAAGGACAGGGCCTTGGAAATACAGATATAGAAGTCTTTCTCTGTTCTGGGGCTTTCTTTCTGTAGTCTCCATTAGTTTGTCCAAGCTCAGAATTATAAAGACTGTTGGAAATATGCTGTGATTGCAGAAAGAGCCATTTTTTTAGACCCTGGAGATCTCCATCACAAAGAGTACAATGGATTCTTGTGTGGCTCCCATCTGGAAGGTGCTACTGGAATCCAGATCTAGTCATTTCTTCATCTGAAGAAGCCTTGCTCTTCTGACACCAGCACAGGCTAATGTGCTGGGTGCTATCCCTCTGGTATGGGGTTCCATTTTGGGAGTCAGTTTTCAGCATGGTTTCACAAGGCATAGTTTGTCAGGACTAAGAAATCTTCTAGCCCAGTGAGCAGTGAACCTGGGGGCTGGACTTTCCAGGCCTGTTCAGACACATAGTATGCTAAGTCCAGGATCAGAAAGCAGCTAGCAATGTGACCCCTTTTTAATGTTTCAGCTGATGCTTCCAGTGGTTCCTCTTAATAGCCCAGCTCTTTTCTCCATCTCTTTGGTTGTGAGGTGGGAGCATAGCTTTCGTCCAGACCACAGGCTCAGCTAACATTAAAGTTTGCCAGCTCCTTAAGCAGAAAATACATTTGGGTCTCATTGTACCTTGACTGGGAAAGGCTAGGAGCCTCTGGCTATCTCAGATTTTTCATCACAGGAGAGGGTCTGGGTGCAAGCCAGGCTGGCACCTTTACCCTTTAAAGGTGAGGCTGGTATTTATGTAATCACTCTGAAGTTGAATTTAAGTCTTTATTCTGTTGAAACTTTTCTATTGGCAACAGGGAGTTTAAGAATTTGTGTAAAAACTTGTATTTTTAACAGTTGTCAATTCTGGCTCTTCCCAGTGTTAGTTTATTAGTGGTTGATTTGTGGTTTTTGTGATTATTGAATTCTAAAACTCCAAGATGAAAATCATTTTATCTCTTGCTCTTTAAGGAGAAAATCATGAAAATAAAGGAAGTATCTTTTCAGTTTCTTCAGGCCTTAGAACTATAGCAGAAAATTTGACAGATGCAGCCTAGGCCTGAGCACCTACAACTTCAGATCTTTGGGCCAGTTTCTGAATGTAGCAGTTGACTTTTGGGATCATATAAGGTCAAGCCAAAAAAAGATCATAAATAAAAGGCTGGACCTCTGTAGCACCTCAATTTCCAAAGTCAAAATACCTGGGGATATTTTAAGGTCCTACTGCTAACTATAGCTTAAAAATGTTTTTAGTGAAATACTAAACATTTTTCAAATTGTATATTACTACAATGTCAAAGTTTTGTCTTAATTTTGGAGAGCCTGGGCAGTAAGGTCATTTGGATACTCTGGAAATTACATGTCAGAGTTGTTCGAAGTAGCCGAAGGGAACAGCCTGACTGACTCTTTGATTAGTGCTGCTGCAAACACCATGCAGAAACAGTAGGAGCCCAGGAATATACCTGCTGTGGTTGGGAGGGGCAGATGTTCATGGACAAGGGTCCCAGCAACACAGGTTAATAATGTGTCTTGGTTCAGGTGGTGTTGAGGAATGGGGACAGGCAGAAGAGACCTGACATTTGACTAAGATTTGGAGATAACCATCTTTTGGGAAAGACTCTATATGCCCCAGCACCTTCCTTGGGGATTATGCAAACCTCATCAGTTTGGGAGGTGAGTCAAGAGAACAGGGGGTTGACCCAGATCTTGTATGCATCTGGAACCTTCATCTCCTACCTCTGCTCATGATTCCCAAGTGAATCGTTGCTCCCACATTGCTCATCAGGATCCTTAGTTGCTCTGGTCCCCCTGCCCTGTGTAGCGCACAGAGCGCTTTCTGCAGCCACTGCTCTGCTGCTATGCGAAGTTCATCCACAGGCTTGGTCAGTCGCAACTTTGAAAGGTATTTTTTCCCTTTGTTTTTAATCTTCTGTCTTTATTTGTCCCATCTGGCAGCTGTAATTGGTGACAAGGGACAGGGCAGTAGGAGGCTGACCAAAGGCAACACTTTTTTGCTTGCTACATGACCTTCTGCTCACCCCGCTACTGCTGTCCCCAGTCTAGGTTTTTATAGGAGTCACATGAATAGGACAGCTGAGTACACTGATCTCCACTGGATGTCAGCAAAGACTCTCCCCCTGGGTAGAAGAGAAATCTGCAAAGGGGCAGGTGCACCACCTTTATTCCAAAAGAAAAAGCCCCTTTAGATTCTGATGTTGCTAGGAGTCTCCTTTTTGAGACTACCTTCTGACTGGTTACCTTTTTAAAATGAAGAAACATTCTAGGCAGTTACTATAAAATAGTACGTTTTCACTCCATAACTCAACAATACTAGGTGATAACCCTGACCTGTTGATTGTGAACCTCAGGAATGTTTAGTGCTTGATGGATGGTTTGGGTGTCCGGGATTTATTTTTTTTAAACTTTGAGACATATTTTACATATCAAATTCACCCATTTCAAGTGTTAAATTCAGTGATTTTAGTAACTTTCCTGAGTGGTGCAGCTATAACTGTAACTCAGTTTTAGAACATTTTCATCCCCTGCAATAAGGTCCTTCATTTATTACACGATCATTCCTGCTCCCAGCTCTAAGTGACACCAGTCTTTGTCTCTATAATTTGTCTTTTCTGGACATGAGATGAATGGAATCATACAAAACAGGGTCCCTTGCCTCTGACTCTTTTCATTTAGCATATTTTGTGGTTCATCCATGATTAACTTGTTGGTAGTTTGTTCCTTTTTGTTGCTGCATAGTATTCCAAAGAAATACACCACATTTTGTCAGCAAGGAGTCTCTCAAACTTGGATTTCAACGTCTCGTGGTCTGAACTCTCAGAACATAGGACTGCAGGGGAAGCTGCTGTGCACGTCAGAGGAGCTGCTCATCAGAACCGGCCTTGTCATCAGAAGTTCCACAGTAGGAGCCTGAACTGCTGCAGAAATTTTTATAATTTTGCAACTTCTTTTTTATAAGGAACTTTTTTGCTGTCTACATGTCAGGACTTTTGAAGCATCTGGTAATTAATTTATTCTAAAGTATGAGCATGTGTTTGGACAAGAAATTGAACCATCGATAATACTGTATTGGAGATTTTTTCCTCCCCAACTGGGGAGTCTCCTAACTTTCTAAATACAGTATCGTCTCCATCACAAAGCGGAACCTCTATTACAGAATATGCTGCTTTTGTTGGACACATTTGGGGGGAAGGAGGACCGTGGGAGAGGAGGTGTGGAGCAGAAATGCAGTGCAGCTTGTGAAACGAGAAGCCCCCAGAGGGTCCATGCACAGCCCACCTTCTGTTGGTGCCGATGCCAGCAGGCCTGGGTCTTGACTTTGGACCTTTATCCCTGCTTCACAAGTGTTTTAAAGCTCTTTTTGCTCCCCTCCCCCCTGAATAAACATTACATGGTAGTTATTAATACTTCTTTGGAAGGGGTAGGACTTTAAAATTGAAAAAATAATTTTCATAAAAATATAAAAAATGGAAAAAAATTACTTTAAAAAATTGCTATACAAACGAAATGGCAGCTGTTGAAAATCTCAATAAAAATGAGAATAAAATGTACTCACTGGCAGTGGGGCCCTTGTTCCTCTGGGTCACTATGTCTTATACAGGTAGTCTACGTGTGGTATGTGTTCATGAGAAAATTTTCTGACTCAATATTGATCACAGTTTCAGTTGCATAATTTTCCATTCTAAATAGTGTTACAAGGAAGCACTGGGCATTGGCCTGGATGTTACAGAACGGAGTGAATTCCACCTCCTCCACTTTCTATGTGATTTCAGTCTGAACCTCAGTTTATTTGTAAAGCTGCACACCTCTTTTCTGGGGCTAATGTGACACGTGTACTGAATTTCAAAATACTGCCTGGCACATAATAGGCACTTAATACGTGTTGGCAATAATGTGTATGTACAGCTTTGAACAAAGGCATGGTAACAGAAAATCCTCAGGCTTACAGGGAAATTGGCTAGTTCCTGTTTTTCCTGTTTCTGGGCAAAACACTTTTCTAGAATACAAGGGCTCTGTATCTGCCTTTCAACTACTGAACGAGTTTGAGAGGCTGCTAGGTCCCAAGCACTGTCCCAGGTACCAGTGCCAATCAGTGCCAAGATGCCCCTGCTATTGTGGAGATTACTCAGTTTACCTGTAGCCTGAACCTCCCAGTCATTCTCTGAGGGGCTGTATTGTGTGGTACAGAGATCATGGGACCAGACCACAGCCCGTGGGGTCTACTCTGAGTGCTGTCATTTCTTCTTCTCCTTCCTAAAACCAGGAGAAAAAGAAATCTGAGCTGGCTTGACGATTTATAACTTTTTGAAATGCTGTAGTTATGTATATATAGGGACTGAACTATTCACATCTTTGAAGATGTGAATGGTATATATGTTCATTTTTAAAATTTCATTAAGCCTATGTATGTTACAGAAAAGCACAGACATTGTAAACATGCAGTTCCATAAATTTTCACCGGCCTCCAGTTGGCATAAGGTGTAAGGATGTTCTTTTTTAGTCCTTTAGAGCACCCACAGAATACTACCCATCACTGAAGACATTTGATAAATGTCTGCTCAATGAATGGAACAGATGAGGCTGGGCTGCCCACAAGATCACACAGGTGGACTAAGGCCGTGCTGTCCTCATGGGACTTCAGGTCTTGTTCTAAGCTCTCTTGCCTTGTCACAGGCCTAACAGGCTCAGATAAGGTGGATCTTCTCTCCACTGTTATGGCAGAACCGAATCCTACTAATTACTCCTGATATTTGATTAGGGAAGGGTACAAGTTTAAAATTGAGGGGGAAAAATTCACCAAAAATCACTTCTTTCTGCACTACCTCTGTGTGATAAGAGCTTTACAAATGGAGAGTAAGCTACCTCATCACAACCCCTTTGGCCAAAGAAAGTGGGGGCACATCCGAACTTGTGTACTCGAATAACTAACATTTCTTCAGCTTTTGCTCCGGCATTAAAAAAACAAGCATGATGTGCTCCTTGCACTGTCCAGTTGGAGTAGCTGAGCCTGGATAATAGTAAGGAAGATAGGCTTCTATTTTAAAGTCTTAGCCAATACAGTTTTATTTAGATTCTAAATCCAAAATACTGCTTGATCCTGATGCTGACATCATGTAAAAAATCTTCTCCAAAGCTCACTGCTCATTAACAGGGTTATTGGAACGGAGATCTAGCAAAGGCACCTCACTGTGCTCTTTGCCTGCCTTTTGCCAGATAATGTACTGGGGACTTGCTGAGAGCTGGACCCCGTTGGTTCAGACCACAGCTACATGGGAAGATGCCTGGCTGTCCCTTCAGAAGGACCTTGGCTTGAGTTCCTATTGCTCAAAGCTTCTCTATGTTGGGCTAGAGCTGATGGAATGAGAGCTGCTGCCACTATGCTGTGATGTATAACCAGGCTTGGGAGACAAATATCCAAGACCCCTTCAAGGACCTCATCCAAACTCAAGAACTGCAGGGTAGAGCTCCCTCAAGTGCAGATCCTGGACCTCTGCAGCAGAAATTACATAGGGTTTTTAGAAGTGAAAATTCCCCATCTCATCCTTGACCTACTGAATCAAGGCATCTTATAGAGGGGAAAGAAAAACAAATCTGAGTCTAAAACAAGGTCTAGAATAATTTATACATGTAAGTTTGAGAACTGATGTCCAGAAAATAACCCATGCCTTCTAACAGCTTATACTCTAACCTCCTAGAGAGGCACCCACTATTAATCAAGACTCTGGTTTCCATCTTCTCTAAGCAGCATGGGCAGCAGAACAGGAAGCTTGGGACTTGTCTTAACCAATCAAACTACAGTATCCAGAGGACAGGAATCGTGTCTGCTCTTCACTGATGTTCATCATTCCTGGTGCCACATAATAAATGCAGTGTCACACTGTAACCAGAGTCAGGCTAGCAGTCCCAGAATAGGTAGTTAACCTAGGTAAGTTGTATCTAGTTGGCCTTGGATCTCAACCATCTTCATAAACCTCAAACAACTCATTCATGCAGAAAAACTGCAAAATGTACTGCTCACCCATAACTACCAAATTCAGTAAGGTAAAAAAATCTCTCAGACAATATTTGCTCCTGTCCCCTAAAACCTACTTGGGACTAATGGGAGAAGGTGTGGTATGCCTAAGGTTACTCTTGGTGATGTTCAGCATGGAGAACATTTAGTTCCACTGAAAATGCTCTGGCAGGGATCATTACCCACTTTGACAGAAAGTCGAGGTCACAGGTTAACTGCAGCAACAGCATAAGTATGCTAACACAGCGGGGGCGGGGGGGGTGGCACACACATAAATTATACGTCCAACTGCAGGGCAAGCAGACTACTATCCACAGGCTGAGCACCAGGCGAGGGGCTTTAAACTCTGGGCTAAAATCACTCCTGAACCCTCTGGGATACGTGCAGGCAGGTACACTGAGGATGTACACAGCAAGTGTACCTCACAACACAATCCAAATGGGGAGTGGGTAAAGTGCATTTATTTTCTTCTATAAGTGTTTGTCTTTAAAAAACAAAAACAGAAAAAAGGCCCCCTCTGTTCCAGCACCCAATGTCCACTGGGCATGGAGGGGGTGGAGCCAGGGCCAGCCCCCTAGGAGAAGGTATGAGAGTAGAAGGCAACGGCATTGGCACTATAGTCCATGGGGAGGAGGTGCCCGATGTGCCTGGCCCCTAGGCTGGCCCCGCCCAGGGCGGAGGAGTGCCTCAGCTTCATCAGGGTGAAGCTGGAGAAGCAGTTCTGAGCCTGGATCTCTCTGCCCTGGGTCAGCGCCAAAAGGAACCCTGGAGGGAAAGAACGCAGAGGACACTGATGAGATAGACACTGTGATAGAGGCCGTGGCGGGGACAAAGAGCGGGGAAAGATAAGGCCTGGGCCCTGAGGTTATTCCTGTAGGGGGCCTACAGTGGCCCACATGCCAAATCCCCAACAGGCAGTGTACCAGGGTGGTGAGGCCAGTGCTGAAACCAGCTGCCACACCCACACCCACTCACCCACCCACCCACGCCTGATGCTGGGAACTCCAAGGTAGCAACAGGCAACGTCTAATGGGAACCACAGTTGCCCAAAGCAAGGCAGCAAGGACAAAGGCGGCACATTTCTTCTGACCAGGACTGTGTTGCCTAGGGATGTCACCACATGCTGCTCAGAAGCTCTGATTTTAAGTTAGATTTGTCTTTAATTCTTAAAAAGTGGTGCTTGCTTAATCTTTTGGAAAAGAACATCTTTGTAAGAGCTCAAAGGAGCTGGATGGGACCTTGTAAAGGGCTCCCTGGCAGACTGAAGGTTGCAGATCTTAAGCTGAGCCATCGGTGAGCCGTCCAGGCCTCAGGTCCCACATCCTCCCTGGAGCAGGCAGCTCTCCTGAGCCACCTCTTTTCCAGCACCATCCCTCACCCTTGCCCCCAGCCCATACTTACCTTCCTTCAGCAGCTCCCAGCTCTTCCACACAGACCCCACACACAGGATGGGGAGGCCAATCTCCCCTTTGAATAAGACCTGGGCAGACAGCAGAAATGGATAGTGGGGGTGACCATGTCTCTCCAATGCTGAAGGGGGTACTTTCTTAAGACCAGTGCTCCCTGTCCCACTTACACTCCCTCTAGTTGAGAACCAGAAGGTGAACTTGAGAGAAGGAAAAAAGGAGGGAAACTAGGGAGATTCATAAAGACAAGGGACAGAGAAGACAGAGGTTGTTCAGAAGGCACTGAAGAACCACAGAGGAAGGAGCAAGGAGAGAGGAAAACAGGCACCAACATGACTGAAAGGGGGAGCACGGGCACCGCAGCCAACCAGGGTGCAGCACAAAGGCTACAGACTAGCCACAGAGGCGAAGCGCCGGACCAGAAACTTTGCTGTGTTCTAGATATTCTAAAAGGTATTTCTCCAACCTGAGTTTTCACTTAAAATCATGTCCAGTTTACAGAGTTTGACGGGCAGTGTCGCCCCTCACAGGAAAGGGCCGAACCCAGCCCAGCAGCTCCCAGCCTTCATTTCCCACCTCAACTCACCGGATCAATCTCAGGCAACACGGCCACAACGTGCCTGCCCAGCATCTCCCCAGCCTTCCTGAAGATGTAACGGGAAAGGGGATCTCCCTGCTGAGCACCTGGGGGAGGGAGGAGGAAAGGGAGTGGTGAGTACTCAGGGAGCCACCAGTGCTCAGCTGTCCTCACTCTCTGGGGCAGGGCAGCAACAGCTAGGTCTCAATCAGGAACAGACGCCCACCTCACAGCATGTGGTTAAAAGTAAGCTTCCAAAGCTGCCACTCTACCCTTACCTCCCACCCCCACCAGGCACTAAGACCCTTGGAGGTGGCTCATTCCATGCACTTGAGAAGGGAAGCGCAGAGCAGCACACTGGCACCTGGTTCACACTCCAGCTCACACAGTTACCGAGTTCTCTCCCTGAGCGCCTCTCAGCTGAGGACCCAGTACCCTATTGAGCAGCTGGCTGGTGTTCCTGTCGGGAACCCCCATCCACCTCCAGCGATCTGCTTGCTGTTGGTCAGCCCCTTCTCAGCTCTGCTCTGAAGAGGCCTCAGTCCAGGAGGGCCTAAGAGGACTTCCCTATGCCCTGAGTCTGCAGGAATCCAGATTAAGGGAGTATGGACCACATGGTAGAGAAAGAGTAAGGTGCAGATAAGCAAGCCC